TAGATCAGTACCTCTGATGAACATAGGATGCAACATTCCTCAACAAAATCCTAACAAACTGAATAGAGCAACACATCAAGAAAATCATACACCACAAATTGGCTGCTTCCCTCGGAGTCAAGCCTGGTTCAACTTAATGCAAATCAGTCATTGTTACCCACCAGATCAAAACTATTTGAATGAGACAAAAAGACAAAATAGGTTTGATCATCTCAACAGATGCTGAAAAAGCATTTGACAGGATCCAACATCGCTTTCTGATAAAACTCTTAAAAAAAATGGGACCCACCTAAATATTATGAAATGTTGATATGACAGCTGCACAGTCATCCTCAGACTCATTAATGAAAAGCTTAAAATATTACCACTAAGATCAAGAACAAGAAAGTAATGCCTCCATCACCACTGTTATTTAACACACATTTTAGAAGTCCTAGCTGAAGCAATTAGGAGAAAAAAGACAAAAAGAATCACAATTGGAAAAGAAGTAAAACTCATTATTCATAGTGACATACTAATATTTTTAGAGAAACCAAAAGATTCTACCAAAAAAAAAAAAGAAAAAACCCTAGAAATAGTGAATGAATACAGTGAAATGGTAGGAATATAAAATCAGTACACAGAAATCATTTGTACATTTCTATATGGAAACTGTCTATCAGAAGAAAGAGATAATACAGTTCCATTTACAATCGTGCCAAAAAGATTGAAATATCTGGGAATAAACTTAATGAAGAAGATGAAGGACCTGTACTATGAGAAGTATAAAACTCTGTTAACAAAGAAATAAGAGGAAATGGAAAAATATACTGTACTCATGAATTAGAAGTATTAACATTATTAAAATGGCCATAATACTGCAAACAATTTAGAGACTTAATTCAGTACTTATTAAAAATACCAGTGACATTTTTTTTCTATTTATTTATGCATACAGAACTGGGGTACAGGCCAGAGGTGCAGGGGCGGCGAGAGGCTTCACCAGAGACAGAGTAGGGAGCAGAACAGGCAGATCGAGGAAGTACACTGCTGAGGGGAGCAGCGGGCTGGTCAGGAGAGGTCTGCCACGCCAGGTGGTCTCCTCCGGGGCAGGCGGGAATCGAACTCATGCGGACACGGCTTTAGCTTCTCAGTGCTGTACTTTAACCCGCTGTGCCACCAGGGAGGGCCACCAGTGACATTTTTAAGAAAACATAACAATTATCAAATTTATGTAGAACTACAAAAGGTCCTGAAGAGCTGAAACAGTCTTAAAAGAATAAAAATGTAGGTATCATACTTTGTGACTTCAAATCATATTATACAGCAACAGTTATCAAAGCAGTGAGTTATTAGAACAAAAACAGAAATTCAAACCAATGGAATAGTATAGAAATCCCAGACATGTATCCATATAAATATGGACAGTTAGTCTTCGATAAAGGAACCATGGCTATACAGTGGAGAAAAGTTAGCCTCTTTAATAAATGATACTGGGAAGCATGGATACCACTTGCAAAAAAAGTCAAGCATGACCCATAGTGAACATCATACACAGAAATTAATTCAAAGCGGTTTAAAAATTTAGACATAACAAAATCCTTAAAGTTCTTGAACAAAAGTATAGTGGGCATATATACAAAGTTATATTTACAACACAGGACATATATACAAAGTTATATTTAGGAATACAACCTAACAGCAAGGAAGATAAAAGCAAAGTAAACAAGTGGGATAACATCAAACTTAAAAGCTTTTATAACTCAAAAGAAACCACAAAAATGAAAGGGCAACCTCCAGATTAGGGTATTGATTAGTTTTCCGAAGGGTAAAAGAAGTAACTTTAAATAAAATATTGGTACAGTATTAAATAAAATATTTGTACAGTATTGAAAATGTTGCAGGTCTATAATATCCTGGTATGGGAAGGCCTCCAAAGTACATTATGATATTTGGAACACATATATAAAGCATAAAAAAATAGAGTAGCCTCCGTGGTGACGGGTGGCATTTAAGTCTCAGCACTATCACTACTACCTCCTACTTCCATCCCAGCCAGGGAGCTAACCCTTGTGAAGTACAACAGATCTCTCCTGTCTTGTCTGCTGGTCCCCTTAGCAACATTATTTCAGTAGATGCGGCTGCTCCGCTCCCCACTCTGGGTCTAGTGAATCCTCTCACTCCCCACACCTCTAGCCAGAGCTTTTCCCATGATACAATGTGATTTAACCCGCTTTAACCCGCTGTGCCACCAGGGAGGGCCCGATACAATGTGATTTTTGAGGGTCACTTGAAAGTATTTTTTCAGATGACTTCCAAATTAGGCGAAGTGATTGACTTAATAAATTTGAGCAGAAAATGCATTTAATTAAAAAATTAACTTTTTTTCCATATTCTTACCAACACTTGCTATTGCTTTTTTGTTATGTAAACTATTCTCACAGATGTGAGATGAAGCCTTGTGGTTTTGGTTTGCATTTACCAGTAATAATTGATGATAAACTGTTTTCTTGTACCTATAGGCCATCTATATGTCCTCTCTCAAAATATCTGTGTAGCTGTCTGTAGAGTCAGAATGTTCATTTTTTTAAAGATTTATTTATGCGTACAGAACCAGAGTTCAGGCCAGAGTTACAAGGGGGGAGAGGATTCACCAGAGACAGCATGGGGAGCAGAACAGGCTGATGGACTGAAATACACTGCTGAGGGGAGCAGCAGGCAAGACAGGAGAGGTCTGCCGCGACTTGGGAGTCATCTCCCTAGCCTGATACTGAAATTGTGCTGCAGTGGCTGCGATAGCTTCATAGTGCTGTGTTTTAACCCGTCGCACCACCAGGGAGCGCCCTGTTTATTTTTAAACTGGGTTTATTGTTATTGAGTTGCCTGAGTTTGGATACCTTGAATATCATCTTTATTGGATATATGTGTACAAATATCTCCGCCCATTCATAAAATTCTTACTAGATAAGAATTTAGATGTGTTTCTGATACTATAAGAAAAAACTTGAGTTTTGAGTATGATATTGGCTGTGGGTTTGTAGAATGTGGTCTTTATTACATTAAGTATGTTCCTTCTATTCCTGTTTTCTTAAGAGTTCTTGTTATAAATAGGCACTAATTTTGTCAAATGCTTTCTCTAGATCTATTGATAATGTTCATATCATTTTTGTTCTTCCATTTGTTGATATGGTGTGTTATAGCACATTAATTGATTTGCATACCTGCATCTCTGGAGTAAATCCCACTTGTTCATGGTGTATAATTCTTGACTATATTGTTCAATAATTTTGCTAGTAATTTGCTGACAATTTTTCCATCTATGTTAGTAGAGATTCTGGCCTCTTATTTTCTCTTTTGTGTGTGATGTCTTTGTCTGGTTTTGGTATCAGATCAAGGTAATGTTGATCTAATGTTGCTATCATAAAATGTGTTTGCAAGTATTTATTTTTCTTCAGTGTTTTGGAAGAGCTTGGAAAAGAGTAGGCTTAAGTTCCCTGAAGGTTTTGAATGTCCTGGGCCCTCTACTGTTTTTTAATGGTTATCTTCAAGATCACAACATGTGTATTTACCTTACTAAAAACTCATACTATTTGATGTTTCTACCACTTCCAGTCCAACATAAAGAAACCCTTAATTTTACTTACCCCATTAACTCCAATTCTTGTTTAGGTTTTTTATTTCTCTACATATTTCAAGCCATTGAAGATATATTATTGGTAGTGGTGTTTATATATTCAGTTTTCACTTTAGCTACCACCATATCTCACTTTAATTCCTAAATTTTCAGTCCTTTCTCTGGACTCAGAAGAACCTAGCAGTTCTTTTGGTATGGACCTAGTGCTAGTGGAATCTCTCAATATTTGCCTGGTTTTTGTTTGTTTGTTTTATCATTTTCATCATAGAAGGAATTTTTCACAGATTAAAGGACCCTGAGCTAGCAGTTACTGACTTCTGCATGTCACCAATTCCATTACCCTCTAGCTCATCATTTATGTAAAAAGTCAGTCCTGTTCTCTTATTGCTTCTGAGGAAGTGATATTTGTTTCTAATATGATATTTTTAACACTTTCTCTTTGTTTCTGTTTTTCAAGTCATTTTATGATGTTCCTAGTTGTTAGTTTCTTTTTATCTTACTCCTGGATCCTGTAGCTTATTAAGTTTTCATCTGTTTTGAAAACTTTTTGGCCATGATCTTCTCAAATACCTCTTCTAACTATTGTCACTCTTTTCCTCTCATGGAAGGACAGTTATACCTTTAATTAAAGTTATATCTTTAATTGTTTTTTTAATGTTTTCGTTTTAGAAATAAGCACGTTGTGGCCACTAGAACTGAAATTCAGCTTATATCCCATAAAGGAAAATGGGGGGAAGATGGCGTCCACTTTGTTTCCTCTCTTTCTGATCTTTTTATTTTTTCCTTTGCCACATGAGAAGTATAGTTGTAGTATTGAAATAGTACCAGAATTTACAGTGCTTATTGCCAGAGTAAACAAAGCATGAACCACTGATCTGGGTAGGCAATCACTCTGGGGAAAGGAAGACACTGGCTTTGAAATGGGTTATGTGCATTCAAATCCCGAGGCCTCACTATTCCATGACCATGAGCAAATTACTCCACTTTTCTGTGTTTAATTTTGCTATTTGTAAACTGTATATAAAGTATCTATTTCATAAAAAGGAGAGAATTAAAGTAAATCTTAACATAAAGCACTTTGAATATAACTGGGCCTGTAGTAACATTCAGTAAGGTTCATTGTTATCTTTGATTTTATTAATCCATCTGTTAATGCTCTGATATTCCCCTGTTCACCTAATACCCCCAAAACCATTTTAGTTGTTAACATCTACAAAGAAACAGCCCTAGAAAGATGATGTTGAGTGTTTGTATTTCAGTTCACGGAGGCTTATAGTAACATGGTGGCCATTCTCTACTTAGCACCCTTCACTACCATGGCTGTGCTGTGTCCTGGGTCTCTGGGGTCTTTGAGACCCTGGTTACTAACTCTCATTTTCTCCTTCAGTATGGAATGCTCCTTTACCAGAACTACAGAATCCCTCAGCAGAGGAAAGCCCTGCTCTCCCACTTCTCAACTCCTGTGGTAAGTAAAGGTGTGATTGGCAAAAGTCAAATTCCTTTTTAGCTGCTACGTCAGCAAATGCTGTAGATGTCCCGTTTCAGACAAGAGCACCACAAGAAGTACCATAGAGAGCATGTACATTTCAGAGAAGCCAGTGACTCCTGACATACTATTTCCAATTTTTTGTTGTCACCACTGTGACTTATAGCAGCAAATTTCTCCTGCCTTCTGTCTCCCATGCATCCATCATGGTGGCTTAGGTAGATGGCTCCATTTTTGTGCTCAGAAGCCATCAACAATGGGAGAATTGCCATCCCCGCCTTTGACTTTTGTGTCTTTCAGCTATGGCTTCCATGGGTACTGGTGACCTGCATGCTAGAGTCCTTCACTGGTGAGAAATAAGAGAGTATAATGACTCTTCTTGTCTCTCAGGATAGATTTTACTTACAAAGATACAAAAAACACTTCCTTCTCTCAAAATAAGGTCTTAAAGATTCTTTACCATCCTTTCCTATGAGTTGTCATGTTAAGCCACAGTCCATTCTTCTCTGAAATAACCTAACCTACTAAGAGAAGGACCAGATTGCTGGTGAGAAACTGGACTCTCCTTATCAGTCCTGTTTCTAATGTCTTACCCAGGATAGGCAGCATGTGAAGTGTGATAAGATTTACAGCCTCTCAGTCCTGCTGGCCTCAACCAGCACCTTTTGTAGATTATGAGAGGATTGAAAGTTTTTTGTTCTCCTTAAGAGAAAGCCCGTGAAGGGTTCTTCAGTCATTGAATTTCCAGCTGAATTAACCTTAGAGTTGGGAGGTGTGGAGAAGAGCAACCCAATCTCCCTTCTAGACCATCTGTATAATTGTTTCATGCAGGATTTGCCTTTGTGCTGCTATGTCTCATTCCCTTATATTTTATTCATTTACCTTTTTTTTTCCTTGAAATGAGAAGGTCCATTTTTTTTTAATTTTCTATTTTTTTAAATATATACATTATATCATCTTTCATTTTTGTAAAACATACAGTTTCCCTGTAAAATTTCCACCACCAATTCATCTGTGTATCATCACTATAGTCCTTTGTGCTCTTCCCAGCCCTGTCCTGGTCCTCCTCCCTCCTCCTTCACTATAGAATGCTCTTTTCTACAGTTGCCTGATGATTTTGATTTTTACATTATTATAGTTACTGTTTGTCTTTTTTTTCTAATCCCTTTTCTGTTTTCTCTACATTCCTCCTATCAGTGAGACCATTCTATATTTTTCTTTTTCTTTCTGGGAGCATAATCCCTTCTAGCTCCATCCATGTTGCTATGAAGGGCATGAGTTTATCCTTTTTGATTGCTGAGTAATATTTTATTTTGTAAACACACCACATCTTCTTGATCCCTTACTTTTTTTGAGATTTATTTGTGCATACAGAATTGTGGTACAGGGCAGAGGTGCAGGGGCTGAGAGGATTTACCAGAGACAGAGTGGGGAGCAGAACAGGCAGGTTAATTGACATGCACTGCTGAGGGGAGCAGCAGGTTAGTCAGGACAGATCTGCCATGACATGTGGGTCACCTCTCTGGCCGGGAATTGAACTCATGCTACACTTTAACTAATTGCGTTACCAGGGAAGGCACTGATCCTTTATATTTTAATAAACATGTGACCTTTCCTTTTCAGCGCAGTGTCTCTGAGAACTCCCTTGTGGCAATGGATTTTTCTGGGCAAACAGGACGAGTAATTGAGAATCCAGCTGAAGCTCAGAGTGCAGCCCTGGAGGAAGGTCATGCTTGGAGGGTAAGCCATGCCCGGTCTCACAGGAACAGGCCCCCTCCCAGTGGCATCCACAACCCTCAGATAAAAGGCTGTGTATGTGACTCTCAACTACTGGAAGTAGTTGGACTACTAGGCTCCTCCTAGTTCCTAGTATTAGCTACCCCTCTGTCCTTTTGTCCCCTGAGTTCTGTGTGAGGAGCAGGAAGGATCCTACTCTGACCTCTTGGCTTTCACAGGGCACCTGCCTGATGAGGCCAAGTCAGAGGCATTCACGTCGTGGCTCAACCACAGATGAGCTTGTAGCTTATCGCCATCTCTGAATACCACGTTCTTAATCTACCTGTAGGATGAATATCACCTAAATTTCAAGTTATTCTGAGATTTAGAGACAGTGTACCAAACATGAACCCACATCTGTAACTTAGAATGTGTTTCTATGTTTCAGGTTTTAAATGAGCAGGAAAGGTAAATAGACTAAGTTTGGAGACCTGTGAGTTCATTGAAAAGCTCATGCTCTTCTTGGATGTATCAGACATTTCATTAACTGTCTTCTGTGTGAGGAACAAGAGCTTCTCTTCCATGCTGGGGGTCATTCAAAATGCACATTTGTTTTTAACCCTTGAACCCTTAAGAGCTTATGTGACCTATAATTTCTTTGATATGTGTGGTCAGAGGCTAAGGTGACATTTCCTCAAGGTCAGGGCCCTATCATAGGAAGTCTCCCAACCCAGCCTCCCCCAAAAGTATGTGTATGTTGACTTGCTGTATCAGTCTGTCTGTAGTGGTAATGTGGGGATTTCTTTTGCAGAAGCGAAGCACACGGATGAATGTCCTAGGTAGCCAAAGTCCCCTCTACCCTTCTACCCTAAGTACAGGTAAACATGGCCTTGTATCTTTGTGTATACAAAAAATAAAAATGGCTTCCAGCCCTCCCTGAGCTTCAAAGTTGCTGGGCCCAGAGTGTACCATAAGAGGTACAACTGTGGGAGTTGGGGCCCATGCTGATGACAAGTTCTCTGTGATTTGGGGATGCTGCTCTGCACAGGGACCCAGATGCCCCCTCCTTGTCTCTCCTACAGTGATTCACAGGACACAGCACTGGTTCCACGGCAGGATCTCCAGGGAGGAGTCGCACAGGATCATTAAGCAGCAAGGGCTGGTTGATGGGTAAGAACCATACAGAAGTGCTGTTGTCTGCTAACACTTGAGTGTTCTAGGCTCTATCTGTTTAATTTCTTGGTGCTTCCGGTATGGGAGGTTGTCCTTATTAACACCATCTGAAGGAAAAGGAAATCTCAGCAGTGTCAGTTGTGCAGGCTGGCATAGCTAGTAAGTGGCAGAGGGATTGTGTTCCACTTCTATCCATACTCTATAACCATCCTCTGCCTCTTTGACAAGATTCAAACTGATGAGGAACTCAAGGTAGTCATTCTCAATTATTTAGTGGGGAAATGGAAAACAGTACCTTTTTTTGCCTGTAGCTTTTGATTTACACATTGTCATTTGGCTTTTGCTACCAAACTTTGGTGGGTTAAAATAACAAAGTTGTATCATTTCTTCTTTGGAATTGGTTGCTTGGCTCTTGTCTGCTAGACCAACTCAGTAACACTGACTAGGAGTGCTTCCCTGGTGACATTGGTGAAAGGGTGACTGGGCATGTTTCATCTACTCTATCTCTAGCCTCCCTTTGGACTTAGTCAACTCAGAAATGGTTCATTTCCTTGTCTGAGTGGCCCCACCCTGGATCTGCTGTAAAACAGCCCTTGGGAGCCACTAAACTAAAATTGTTGTTTTATAATGGAAATTTTCAAATTTACATCAGAAAAGTGTAATGAATCTCCTTTTACTTATCACCCAACTTCAACAATAGTCTGATCTTTTTTCTGTTTCATTCCCACGTTTTCCATCCCCTCCTTCCTTCTCTCCCTCCCTCCCTCCTGTTTTCTATTTGTTTGCCTTCTTCTGGACTCTTAGAGGAAATATCAGACTTCCTGAATCTTTACCTATAACTATATTGTAGTCTGTATTGGTGAAAAAATAAGTACATTTCATCAGATACCCTTTTTGAGTCAAAATTTTGACAAGGGATGAAAATTTGCATTTTTATCATTTATGCCAGTTAAAATTAGAGAACTAATTAATTAAACTTTTATGTTCCTTATTCTAGAAACTGCATATTTTCCTTCTTTTGTATTCTCATCAATTCCAATCAGAATTTTAGGCAGACAGTTTTCATTGAGGAATAAATAAATTAATAATAACACCCTGCTTTTGACACAGCTAGAATATCATTATTATACTTTACAAAATAATGATTCTCTAATAATCATCTAAAATCCAATCCATGTTCCAGTTTCCCAATTGCTGCAAAAATCAACAACAACAACAAAAACAAGTCCTTTATATTTTAGTTGGTTTTAATCAGAATCCTTTGGGTCCAAGTTGCATTAGATTGATAAACCTCTTAAGTCTCTCTAAACATAATAGTCTCCCCAGCCAGTCCATTTCTCTTTTCTCTTTCCTCATCTTTTGTTTGTTGAAAAAGAGGGCATTTACTAATTACATCTCTGTGGTTGCTTTTCATCTCTGCCTTCCATATTTCCTGTAAAAGGAACCTGGTCAGATTCAGGTTCACTTAGAAAGGCAGGAGTGCTGGGGTCTGTAGGGGTCTTTAGCAGTATTCCTGCCTCTGGGCTGCTTGTGTCCTGCTTTGTGATCTGCAGATTGGGGAGCAGCGGGGTTCATATGGTTGGCCCAGCCTTGCTCACAGAGCTTCCGTCCCCATCCATGGACTGGTTGGGCAGTTTTGCTAAATGTGCCCATGTTTTATATTTCACTGGGGGTTGCAGAAATGTTTTATGATTTTTATTCTGCCATCATTTTGCTAAAATTCTGTACCTTACATATATTTGGTTTCCTATAAAGGTACTGAATGCTTGATATTTCCCCTTTAATCAATTTTCAGAATAATGAATAGGTGTTTGCTAATGGCAAGTTAGATGTTTGGTAAACTTGCTATTCTTGGTACTCAATCTGCCTCTTACTGGCCACTGCGCCCTTTTTCCAGAGGTTCCTGAGTTCTCTGGACCCAACACTAATGGTATTTAATTCCTAGTGTGACAAGTTGCATCAGCACAGTGACATACTCTCTTGAGAGCTCAAGTCCTCCCTCGTAAAATGTGTAGCTTGTACACATCATCTTAAGTCTTTTCTGTCAGCAGTGCTAGGACATGTACTTTTCTTAAACTGAAAAATAAATCGTATTCACGAAAATCAAAGATTACAGGGATTTTACTTTTTAAATTTTATTGAGAAAATCTCTTTTCTCTTAGGCTGAAAATCTTACTAATGACATCATCTTAATTATTTTACATCACTAAATACTCATTTGCTTTATCCCACATACATCTTGAAATTACATATATTTCTTCAGTGAGACTACTTGCATTCACATTCCTGCAGTCCTTAAAGATGCATCCCAGACACATCAGATTAAAATATAATGGTTAAAATAATTCAGTTTCTGTGGTTCTATCTCCAAACGGTCACATAACCAGGTTCAGTTGTTTTAGTTTTTTGCAAATAGTTTTGATTTATTGTCTCTTTAGATTAATGCTGTTTTTTTGGTAAAACATTTTTGTAGTTCCAAAGTAAAAACTATGAAACAAAGCACTCTGTTAACTCTACTCTGCCCCAAAATAAGTTAATCATGTTATCAGTGTTTTATTTATACTACCAGTGTTTCTCTTGCCTTGTGTGGGCACATGACAAATAGATCTTTATACCCTCCAGCCAGAATCTTAACGGTATATTATATGGGTTTAGTTTTGTGCACCACCCCTATGGTCTGAACACCACATTAGTGTCTCAAGGCTGTGTCCTTGGGGCAACTTCTGAACGCTGGCCAGGCAAGCAGAACTCTCGACCCAAGGACAGGGAAGTGGGGAGGCCTCTGATTGCTGCATCCAGCTGGCGGGTCAGCTGGCAGTCATGTCCTCTCAGTGACCCACTCCCACGGCAGCAGTCCTGAGGGCTGCTCCACAGGAGGGTGTGGCTGCCTCATCGCCTCTCCCCAGCATCCAGGCATCCTTTGCCCCTGTATCTGTGTCCTTAGAAATGGGATTGTCAAGTACAAGGGCAAAAGTTTATCTAACATGCTGAGGTGCTCTTTCCCCTTAGTAAGGCACCACACGGTGACCCCCAGAAATTTGTGACTTATACACTTGTTTTGTCATGTTCCAGGTGACAATTCTGCCTCTTCAAGTTGAGAAGAAAATTGTAATTTGCATGCGCTGAAGGGACCTGAGCCTCTTCTTATTTGTTCAAGGGCCATTTATAATTCTTTTTGCCATTCTGAGATGTTTTGCCTAATGTTTTGTTATTTTAAGTTGTTAGCATATTTTTCCAGCTTGCCATGTCTTTGGACTTTGCTTATGGGATATACATTTTTTTGGCTTATACAAAAATGTTTAATATGAAATTCATATTGACACATGTATTTTCATTTTTGTCCCTTATCCTTTGGGATTTCTGAGTCACTTCAGTTGTCCCTACTCTTAAATTGTTAGGTGCTTATTCATGTTGCCTTTGTAACTTCTATTGTTTCTTTTCTTCTTCTCTTCCTTCTTTTTTGTTTGCTCAATTTTGTTTTTTGGAGCTCAGTTCCATATTGTAAAAATGGATCCCCTTTTTTATTTTATTGTTTCCCCTAGCTGTCTTTGACATGCCACCTTTGTCATAGCGTTGTCCCTTTTACACATTGGGAAGAATTCCTCTCCCAACTCCAAGAAAGTATGTTTACTCTCTGGATAGTTTCTGGCACGTCAGACACTTAAAATTCCTTTTGGTGACACTTGTTTAGGAGTGTGTGTGTGTGTGTGTGTGTGTGTGTGTGTGTGTGTGTGTGTTTCCAGGTCTTCGTTATCATTTCCAGTCCTTGAGTCTCATCAGAAGGAAGTCCTAGAATCTTTCAGTGCTGTCATAACCCATGTTGCCTGGTTCTAAAGAAGCCAGACTGGCTCACCCTTAGGTGACATCCCACTACCTGAAAAGCCCAGGTGGCAGCAGAGATGCCCCTTGGTACCTTGGCTGTTGCTGTCCCTCCCTGGGTCCAGAACCGTGAGGGTGGCACTGCCTCCCTAAGGTGCCACCTATTAGCGTGAGAAGGGAGTGGGGAAGAGTGTATGTGAAGGTTTCCCTGGTGATTCTGTGATAATGTCCAATCACTTTGTTTTGAAAGGGGCTTTCCTATGGTGGGGAGAGAAGGTGGATGACCATATTAGGTCCACTGAATTGTATGCACCTTCTTTTAAGACCACATTTGTCTTTCACCTTTCCCTAGAGTAGACCCCCAAGTGGCAGTTCCCATTTTTTCAGACTTGGTGAGGAGGTGAAGCTTTCCTCCTGATGCTGTCCACCTTGTTTACAAGCAGGAGCTTCTCTCTGGGGTCTTACTTAGCTTATCTCTTATGTTATAATTTTCAATCCTGATGTTAAACTGCCAGAGCTCTGGCAAAAACAAAAATAAAGATGATGAGACCAATTCAGGTGTCATCATAGTGATGCCCTATCTTCTACTAATTCCTGTATTTAGGCAGGAAATGTGTTGGAAAATTAGATAATCAATCTTTATCGATCCCTACAGGGGAAATGAAGGTAAGACAATTTAGAGGAAAGCAACAAAAACAACTTTGGAAGGCAGCGTGAGAAAGACAATATGTTATAAAACAGTACAGGATTCCTGGAACTGTGCCCACAGGTTATATTTGGAGGGGTCCCTCTTTTCGAGAGAAAGCAAAGATGGAGTAAACTGGGGACCTATTTTGAAGTCCTCAGTATCTAGGCAGCCCTCTGTGCAGGTCACCTGGTGTGCGTGTGTGTGCGCGTGTGTGCGTGTGTGTGTGCGTGCACTCACAGCCCACTCACCCTCTAGGGGTTCTGGCACAGCACCAAATTCATTGATTCCCTTCCCTCTTGCTGCCCACAGCCTACCCTAGAACCTGGAGGAGAATCTTCTCAAGGGGCAGATATAGCTGCCATCCCCTTTGCTAAAACCCCCCTGTGGTTTGTTTGTGGCTCCATCTCCAGCTGCTGCTGTGCTCTCACTTAGGGATCTGGCCCCAGCAGCCCCCCCATTCCTTGCCCACCTCGCCTTTCTTGAGTTCTGGCGGGGTCTCTCTCGGCTCAACATTGACTTTCCAGTGGTTGGCTGGAAGTCAGAACTTGAGTTCCTTGATGCTTTCTCTTCCCCTGGAGAGAAGGGTGCTGTTCTGACGCTACCACAGAATCACCACCAGAGCCCTAACAGTGTTCTTCAACCATGGAGCAAGCATGTTTGTAGACAGCCCTGACTTGGAATAAGATTTTTCAGCTTTACAGTGGTACAAAAGCAATGCACATTCTATTGATTGATATGGGTCTTCTGGTTTTAAATTTTGATCTTTTCCATGCTGGGTGCAGTACTGTCCTTTCTGTGATGCCAGGCAGTAGCACTTAGCGGCAGAGGCATGAGGTGAAAGCACCTGTACCATATAGTGGGCCATGTTGCCCGTGTTTTTTAGATACTGTTTTGTGTTTCAGTCTCTGATCATGTCTACAAAATGCCTATTTGAGATCATCAGTACTTCATTATAAAATGCTCTACAGTAGGTGATATACGTGTTCTGAGTTAGCTGAAACTATGATTAGGTTAGGTTTGTTAATTGCATTTTTGACTTGTAGCAAATTTGACTTATAAAGGGTTGGGGTTTATGTAACCCCAACTTCCTCATAAGTTATGGAAGATCTGTGCAGATATACTCAAAGTGAAACCACTAGTCCCATCTTTCTGCTATAGCCATGGTTTCTCCTTGGATTCTATTGGCAGTGTGACCTTGGGCATTTACTTCTCCCTGCCCCACTTCGCTCCACCACAAGACAGATGGACAGCAAAGGTCATTGTGAGGCACCTCAGCCCAGACTGCTGCTTACTCTGATTGCTGTCAGCCTTGGGCATGGGCCCTTTGCTCTTCCATGATTTGACTTGTGAACATGCTCTGAGCCACCCCTACACCTCATTTCAATCCTTAATAAAGTTGAGGACTTACCTGGCCCTGCTGGTCTCTTTTCTGTGCTGTGTTCTTGGTTTATCAGCCTGTGTGGCATGTTCAGGTCAGTGGGCCTCATCTCTTTCTCATAACAAAATCTCTGCAGTGTGCCTTCATCCTGTGCTAAGGTAGATTGCCTGCCCTTGTCAGTTCACTGCCAACACCCTTCCTCTTCCCCTCCCCAGTCTCCTGACAGGAAAATGACCAAGTCAAGGTGGAGAAGGCAAATCACCCCCACTCACGGCACCAATGAAGGGATCTCGCTGCTCCTAAGCCATGCACTTTTCATCCCGTAGGCCTCTCCATATTAAAAATCGTTTCAAGTAGACACCCTTTGGGCATTACCTGTGTTGTACCCAAGCCTTTGGGGTAACCTTTGGATTCCCCAAGGCTATACTCCCAAACTCACAGGCAGACATAGCAGTGTCACTGGCCCTGCTGCCTGCAGCTGCCTCATGGCAGGAAGAAACAGCAGGGAGGTAAATAAGGTAATGTGAGAAAAGAACACTCACAAATTTTCCTCTAGTGAAAGGAGTTCTGCAAACTGCTGGGGTTATGCCAATAATTATAGCTTATTTGCAATGAAACAACATGGCTGAGGTAAAGATTTTTGGAGGTGAGTGAAGAACCTGATGAAGAAGATTTGCTCAGGAGACAGCCAGGGCCTTCACACCAGCCTATGCTTTGACAGGACATCCCTCGCAGCGGCAAGTCCAGTGTGAGTGTCCTCACACTGCAAGTCCTCGCTGGTGGCTTCCTCCTAGAGTATTCTGAAGAGCCCACATTCTTGAAATGCTGTTGTAAAGGGGTCATGTAGGATTGGCAATCTCTTTGCTAAAGCCCCTTGGGAAGCCAGTTTGATTATTCACGTTATAAAAGCTCTGAGAAGACCTGCAGTAAAAAACACTGCAATTGTGCACATTATAATGACTCTTAGAAGACCTGAGTAAAATTAAACTTCTTTACCTTCCTAACACAGTGTTTTCCAGCTTTCTGCAATTGCTTTTCATATTAACATTGCAGTTTAGAAATTGATAATTCAGCTGGACCCATTCCTTTTAAGTATGTGGCCTCTCATGCCGTTTTCCTTTGTGACTTGAATCAGGAATTCGAATTAATTTTCTTCTTCCTTTCTACTGTACACCTGTCTGTCTTACCAGCTAAGTCAGTAAAGTGGTATGAGAATAATGTAATGAACTCCTGAATATATTTTATCGAGTACCCCAGTGTGACATTGTCTTTATCTTTCTCCTTTCTCGCTCCCACCCATGCTTCCTCCTCTTCCCTCTTAGCCATTTGGGAATATGTTGTGGCATGATGCCCTTTGACACCAATTATTTTAATTTAAAATTTCTAACAAAGACTTTCTTACATAATCACAGCACCACTATAAAAGTAAGAAAATTAAGATAAATGTATTTCCATCATCTAATATACACATTTACTCAGTTTTTCCCAGTGGTCTTAATTCTATCTTCATACAAAAGGAAAAGGTTAATCCTATATTGTCTTCCTGCCAGCATGTTTCTTTAGTCTTCCTGCCTCTCAGCAACAGTTGTTGTCAGTCGAGGCACTGTGGAGTGTGGAGTTTGGCAAGTTCACTCTGCTTCAGTTCAAGTTATAACTTTATGACACTAGCACACAGAGGTGAGGTTGAGAGGTCATTGAATATTGGTTGAATTCTTGATAAAGGACATATATACCAGGTTTCTCTATTATAGTATTACTGTCTTTCCCATTGTAGTAAACATTAGGCAGAAAATTTTGAGAGCTAATGAAAATATTCTCATCCAACTTTCATCTGCTGATCTGTTAGCATCCTTTGGCGATCTCCTTACCAATGGAAATCTGTGATGATTGCCAAACAGTGATTTTCTAATTCAACTTTTTCCCTACTGATTTAGCTGGAATTCTACCCTCAGAGCATTTTCTCTCCTTTATTAATTTATGTCTTTCTTTTCTTTTTTTAAATAACACCAACAAAGACTTAATGCATCCCCGTTTTGGCTGAACTGCCTTCAGGGTCATCATTCTTTGACTCAGTCAAATCCCTACAGGGGCTTAATGTTCTCAAAGGAAATGACATTCACAAACCATAGTCAGGGTGCAAGGGAGAAGCTGCCACCACAGGCCTTGCTGAATCATCTGGCGTCAGTCCTCTCTTACCAGACAGAGCAGGGGTGTGTATGTATGCATTTGTAAATATACATACATTAAATCTGGATTTTAAAATTAATAATCACTTCATTATTTTCCATTCTTCAGACTTTTTCTCCTCCGTGATAGTCAGAGTAATCCAAAGGCATTTGTCCTAACACTCTGTCATCATCAGAAGATTAAAAACTTTCAGATTTTACCTGTAAGTATTGACAGTCTCATATGTTTGTTTTCTGGTTTCAGTCATTAATGTGATTTTCAGGTTACAAATTATCAAGATTGCAAGACTGTGTTCATTAAATAGCTGACAGTTCCAAGTTCACAGGTGAGTTGCCTTGAGCCTTTATTGAGGGGGTTGTTCTTTAAAACTGAGAATAACATTTTCCTAGAAATAATACTGAAAATGGTAGTGTTTTTGCTGAGCCCTACCCACTCACCTGTCTGACTTACAGTTGCAGGTGACAGGGCACCTGGTGGGAAAAAGCAAGGTTAGATAAAGGGTGGTACTGAGGGCTGTGAGCCCAGGAGCTGGGGGCCAGGAACACAGGTGGCAAACGAAGGTAGGTGTTGGGATTTTACTACTAATTTTTATTATTAGATTATAGAATGTAAATTAATTCCCTCTTTAATGTGCTGAAGCTCACATACTAGTCTTAATTTGCAGATAGTGGAGATGATTGTCCCTCCAAGAATTCCCAGCTTAGTTGTGAATAAGATACACAAAATTAATATCAAAGGCTTTATGTTTCTATAACCTACAATTTGTAGATTAGTGCTAACTTTCATGAACTATTTCCTGACAAAACTTAACCCAGGAAGTACTGCCAGATATTTGCCTCTCACTGAGATCCATTCTGTTCATTTACAAAATGAAGCTCTGTGTATTTTGACGTAACTGAATATATCTGTTTCATGTGATCGAACCTATTTTTGTTCAATATTTATTTATTTGTGCGTATAGAATTGGGGTACAGGCCAGAGGTGCAGGGGCGGTGAAAGGATTCACTAGAGACAGAGTGGGGAACAGAACGAGCAGATTGACGAAGTCCACTGCTGAGGGGAGCAGCAGGCAGGTCAAGAGAGGTCTGATGCCATGTGGATCAGCTCCGGGGCGGGAATCGAACTCATGCTGAAGTGGCTTTATCTTCTTAGTGCTGTACTTCAACCCGCTGCGCCACTGAGAGGGCCTGAACCTACTTTTTGGGTGTATATGAGCCCATCCATTCCTGAGATAGGGCGAGGCAGCCTGCTGAGCACTGTGTGTTTTGCATGGGCTTCCTGCTGTCACCCATGACCCTCAGCAACAGCTTTCAGGGGCTTACTGTGGACTAGACCAGAGGACAGTCTTAATTTGTTTTCTGCATGGCCTCTTGACACCACTGTTACTATTTCTTACCCTTAATGAAAAGCATTTTATAGTAGGCAGAGTATGTAATCCCATTTTCCCAAGTCACCCCCAGTCCTAGGAGTGCCCTAGGGACTCTAATATGAGACTTACAACAAGATTGTAGCTATAGTGACTGAAAACTAACCACCAGTGGTGCTGTGACTCCAGCAGTTTTGGGATTAAGAAGAGATTGTTAAGATTATTAGTTTAAAATGCTTTATAACTACTTTCTCCAGTGAACAGCATAAAATGACTATCCTGTTCTAATCTGTATTGCAGTCATTGAACTTAAAATCCATTGAGTTAAAATAGCTTATAGGGGCCTTCCCTGGACAGCAGGTTAAAGCACAGCACAAAGAAGCTTAAGCCACTTCCGCATGAGTTCGATTCCTGCCTGCCCCGGAGGAGATCCACTTGACCAGGCAGACCTCTCCTGACCCGCCCGTTGCTCCCCTCAGCAGTGTACTTTCTCGATCTGCCTGTTCTGTACCCCACTTTGTCTCTGGTGAATCCGCTCATCCTCCTCATCTCTGGCCTGTACCCCAGTTCTGTACTAATAAATAAATAAATCTTTAAAAAAAATAGTTTGTAGGAAAATCATTCATTCTTTCTGGAGATGACGTGGAGTATTTTAATACAGATAGCTACCAATTATTCCAGAATCCGAGATAGTTGCTTTCCCTACATAATCTAATTAATGCCTTAAGTAGTTCCAGTAATCCAGTCCAGCATTTTCTTCATGATGGAGCAGTGTGTGCCTGGGGACCTAAAGAGGAAGTTGCCCCTGATCCTGCACTAGTACTCAGGGCTGGGCGTGCTGTGTGCTTAGATACCACAGTGCCAGTGGTCACCCTCAACCTCACCAGCTGGGTGAGCTTCTGAGAAGAGAGCTTTTTCCCAGACCACCTCAGCAGTCAGGGGCCAGCTGTGCCCAGCACACAGTAGGGATTTGGCAGCACCCAGCTCCCCCCATGTCTTCTCTCTCACCTCGCTGACTTTCCATGTCTCCCTTAGGAGCCTATTCAATATTAGCTGGCAGAGCTATCCCAACCATGCACTCCACTTTGCCCCCTGTGGTATGACCTCTAACTTGGCAAGTGTTCTTATGTCTCTCTAGTGTGAGGATGATGGGCAGATGTTCTTCAGCCTTGATGATGGGAACACCAAATTCTCTGACCTGATCCAGCTTGTTGACTTTTACCAGCTAAACAAAGGAATCCTGCCTTGCAAGCTCAAGCACCACTGCATCCGAGTGGCCTTATGATCTCAAATTTACTCTTGACTAAAGACTAGAGGAAGTTGACACTGGAATGAAGTAGAGGTCTGTGCATTGGTTAAGAACACACATCTTTTCTGCATCTTCGGATATGGAGGAGCAAGATGGGTTCATTTGATGCCAATTGATCCAAGATTGACTAGTTTGTTGGACTTGACGATTTGCTGCTGCAGCTCCAGCAGGATCGCTTCTTCCACACTAGCCAAATCAGAGAGGGCATGACAGAGCAAATACAAATTTGAGAATAAACTAGAATGACCATCTTGACTGGGCTACATAGGAACAAGATCAAGAGAGAAGTCATTGGAAATGAACTCTTGCCCTGGAATAATCTTGACAATTAAAACTGATATGTTTACTTTTTGTATCGATTACTTTTTTGCACTCCTTTGTTTTCAACATTGTATTCAGCCTACAGTGGGGGGTGTGGCTTTTCAGTGCTTACAAGAAATGAAGACAGTTGGATTGGGCGGACTTCAGGGACCCCACATATTTCTCAGATCATGGTCTCCACCTTCTGAAAGTTGCCAGAGGTGGATTCAACTCCCAAATAACAAAGCACCCCCAATATACTTGAAGAGTTTCTTTTAAAATAAAAGGTGTCACCTGTGGTAGGCATTCGGCATGGCATGTGGATACCTTGGGTCTGTGGATCACTTTTCTATGCACAGATGTCCCATACTTTTGGTGTTAGGATGTCTGGTCTTCTTTGGAAAACTCACTGTCCTACAACATGGCAGAGTTGAGTTACCTCACTCCAACTTAATGCAGGCCAACCTGCTTGAGACACACCTGGTGCCCACTCTCTGCCATCAGTGATGCCACATTGCCCACCTGGGTGTACTTTCAGACTGTTCTGGGACGATCACTGCCTTATCCCCTTTAGTAACATGAGTCCGTTCATGGCTGTTTTCCCTCAGGGGACTAAAGAATCTAAAAAGAAAAGGGTACCTTGTTGGTTGGCTTCTTTCCATGTCCCCTGTGTTCTATGGTGATAGAGACAGAAATATTGGAAAGGGCACATCTGTAGCCCTGTATTAAAAGGTCTTTGCTTGATAACCTCCGTCCTGCTGAAAACCTCCATTTGCCAGCAGATGAGACAGCTAGAGGCTCCTCTTCTGTTGGCTTATGATCACAAGTACCTCACAGCAGTGTGGACATTGAAAAGTGTTATTAACACATCACTGCTTCCCACTCCAGGAATTGAGTCAGGTGGGGACTTGAGTTGTTACCCCAGTCTCTTCTTCCTGTCCCTTAGCTGAGTTATCAGGTGTGAGAGGGGCTATGTCTTTACCTTTGATCTCTGCAAAGCAGGAAGGACTCCCTTGACAGAGATTACTGTGGTGAGAAATGATTTCCTTTCCTGAGATCACAGTTGTCACATTGGCCCCCGGAGAAGTGTGTTAACCACTGGATTGTCTAAATTCCCATCAGCCGTAGTGCCCCCCAAGGAACATACACATGTTGTAGGTTAGAACTGTCATAACGGCTTCAGTGACATATATCTGCTGTAAGTCTATGATATAGAAACACTGTATTTTAGTTTACAGACCACACTAGCTTTCCATGAAATGTCTACTTATACAAATGAAGAATTTTTTATAAAATGTGTTTTTAACCATAATGCTCAGTTGCATTTTCTTCCTTTCATAGCCAGTTTAATCTTGGAAACCATTGACCATTAGGTCATTCTCAAATTCAAGCCTGGCCATGTGCTTCACTGAACTTCACTTTATAAGACTGACACTTTAGTGACCTTTTTTCTCTTCACTGGTTGGAAGCAAAACCTTTAAAAAAAAAAAAAAAAAAGATTTCTTTTTTTCTGTTTACACAGACCAATCTCCAGCAGTGAGATGAGACTCTTGTGCCCTCTCTGATAGACAGCTAGTACTGCAGTATTTCATATTTATAGATATGCTTTTTATTTAAAAAGAGAAAAGCTTAACTCTGACTCACAGTTTTTTATGTAGCTGGTTCAATATAGTCTTTTGTACCTTCCAGCCGAAGTAATTGTTGGAGCGTGTAAACTTCCCACAGCCCCCACAGCCACCCACAGCCACCCTTGTGCAGGGCTGCAGGGCATTCCATCCCAAACAGCCGTCCATCCTGGCACAGGCATCAGCCCAGCCAAGGGGCTGAAGGACATTCGACTTTTATTTTTGTATTTAAATGACATGAATGTAAATGGGACAGCTCAGGGTCGTTTTGGAGCCTGTTGACTTTTTATCTCTGCCTGTGATTTTCTTTTCTAAGTAAAAACTCCACATAGCAGTCTGGACTAATTTGAGAGGGAAAATGCCAAAATGTCTGGGTATTAGATTTTAATAGGTGATCTCTGTACCTTAGGTGTTAGAATTCCAGAACTTCTTGTTTGTTTGTTTGCTAAATCCTGAAGAAATATGTGCCTCAGTCTAGGTGTTTTGTCTTCTGTTTTCTGCACTTAACACCTGGCAGTTTGAGTAAGCAGCACTCAGCCAGGGGTGAGGCTGGTATGTCAGTGCAGCTGCAGTGCCCATGTGAATGTGTGCAGCGAATGCAGGGGGTGTTAACTTCAGAGACAAAACCTTTATTCCATGTGCTCTGCTCTGCTTTATTCTGTACATAGCTCTTTGACTTGTGTACTTAATTGTAAACTTTCAAGTATTTTTGTACAAATAAGGGAATGATGTCTGTTTCTTGTAACTAGAAATAAACATGAATACAGTGTTCTTCATTTTCTAGTGCATATACTGTCTGTTTATATATTTTAAAATACTCTGGTAAAAATAAAAAAAAAAACATTAAAAACCTTTGGAAATGATTTATAATATTAGCATTGTACTTCTCCCCACTGGTCATAAGCTAAGGAAAAAATAAGTTGCTGTGGTGTGTACAAGCCTGCTGGCTCCAAAGTGCTGGTGCTTTCAGCCGTCCTGCTGGGCAGGCTGACTGCCATCTGTAGCCAGCCTCTTCTCCCTGCACCTCCAGCACCAGAATCGCAAAACTCACAGTGTTTCAAAGGATCACATCTTTATTCAGCATTAGTAGTATCTCAAGAAAGTCATAAAAGTTATCATTTGGAAATCCAGTGCATTTTTTTTCGTGGGACAATTAAAAAAAAGTGGCAAGGAGGAGAGTTTTCCAGTCAAATGAGATATTGAAAGGAAGCTTAAGAGAACAGATGCCCTATGTCTGTTTCCCAGAACTGTACCTGGGGACCCTGATGTATGATTTACCTGCGCCTGCCTTACCTTCAGCCCCACCTCAGGCAGAGAGTATGAGTAATATTATCACACGTCAACTTTCCAGACCAACAGAAATATACCTCTGGCATTTTGTTAACTGTCATTTATTTTTAAATTATGAAAATAGGGTTTTTGGTAATTCAGCTCTCTCAGACAGCTACCCATCAATAAAGAACAACAGTAAGATCTCACAGTGGTCTCATCCTCGGGGGAGGATGGTACTCACATACAGTGTTCATGGTGATACTGGTGTGTAGTGAGGGCTATGGGTGCCCATGACATGGCTGAGGAGAATCAGGTGACTGGAGAGAGGGAGATGGAGAGGAAGATGGTCACAGATTGCTCCAGGGCACTGACATGGGAGCAGAAGAAGACCAGAGAATGTGGAAGTTGGATGGCGTGTACACCATGACTAGGAAGGACCTACTGTTTCCATCCTAGAGCCCAGGGTGGGGGATGAGCCAAGGGACCAGTGTCTAAAATTCCCCCAAAGAAGATGACACACTCATAGACAAGCTGTTGGCACTAAAAGAAAGTGCTGTACAACTTTAAATTTTGTCTCACTGCCTAGATCACATTTTTAATTGATTTTAAAGCATATTTTGGGTGATTTGTTAAATTATAAGACCACTATGGTGAAAATACTAGCTTGTTAACGTTAAAAAGTAAAGTGTTACAACTTCAGTTTTAGAATTAAAAGTAAACTCAGCACCTTCTCAGTTATACATTAATAAAAATGGAAGAGTACATGAAAAAAATCCATCTTTGGCAAAGTTAGTCTCTATCAGTCAGCTTACAGTACATGTGATAGGCTGGCCATTATTTACTGAGGCAGAAGGACCAGCCCATGGGCAGGAAAATGCTGACAGAAGACAACTTTGACTGCAGACCTCAGCAAGTCCAGCAGAGGGCACTCCAAGACACTGCACACCCAAAAGGGGGAGGGGGCAACAGGTGGAGGGGTCCTCTCTAGTCCTTATAGGGAACAGCGAGAATGGTCACAGGGTTGATGATGGATTGATGTCAATGATTTTTCCTCGGGTTGCTGTGCACTTTCCAAATATAGATAACAGCAAAGTCTTATTTTTTGTCTGGAAATATTTCTTAAATTCTAAATATATTTTTCCATAATCGCAGGTCTATTTTTTTTAAGCCATCAATTTTGTGTGTGTTAGGTCCTTTTTATAGGTCTTTCATAACCTCATAACCTTTACTTTTGTATCCTTTTAAATTTCATTGCAATTGGACTTTGTGTCACCACTCAACCCTGTCTTCGAGGTCACTGAAGGTGTTTCAGTGGTTGTCTGTGCTACATCCAATATAGACTTCAGTCCTGGAAAACTTTCATTTTTCTCTTCCTTTTATCTTCACACCCATGTGACTTTCCTTGTACATAATGGGCGATTGCATTTCTTCTTTGAGATTTTGTGAAACAATTGCTTTTTAAGTTCATGGTACAGTGTTTGGTTGCAATTTTAATCTATTCCATGGTGATATTTTTCTATTGTGTGCTCTTTACTACCATTTGTAATTTTTTTTCTACTATCTCCTCTTTCTACAAGATTGGTGCTGTTTCTTTAAATGATAGGAATTCTTGTGTAGACATTTATATTAACTTTGTATGGAAAGAAGATGTGCTTTGTGTGATGCTAGCTGAGCTAAACTAAAGTGTCACTTTCAAGACTGGTAACTAAGCCATGAAGACTGAGTGTGTAACACTACTTTGAACCACATCTACCTGCACATTCATCCTTGTGTACCTTCCAGACATACCTCCCACAACTATTGCATATTAATATCCAATTCAACAAGTTATTTGCCCCTGGTTGTTCTAATGAAATTTAGCACAGTGTTGTTTTGGATAAATGACACCTCCACATATGTGATACCTCTCCCTCATCCCACAGGTAAGACATAATGCCACTATCCACTCTCTCTGATTTTTTTTAATCAACTTTGCTGGGTAATTATCACTGAATGGCAGTGATTTTTGCATCACATACATCTATATTGAATACAAAACCCAACTGTGCTCAGCTACCTTCTCCACAACATCCTTAAATGGTGCTTCCCAGTTTGATACCAACCTACTCAAAGAACAAATTTTCCTAAAGTGAGCCCAAAAGGAAATATATTTTTTATTTAGATATAGCAACTTTTCCTGTTCCCAAATTAGTCACTATTCCTTCTGTGGTTCAGAATCTAAATACAGAATGTAGAATGTTTTCACATCAACCCCTACTTGTTATTGTCCTTCTGAAGAAAGATTCACCTCTTCCCCTTGTTAGAAGGAGCTGGGCAGGGTTTCTTGAGAGAGACTGATAATTGAAAACAGGGATCATTCCTGATGCTTTTACAGAATTCAAAACCAACCTTGACAAAGAATGCTAGTATCTCTGAGTTAAGTGGACCATCATGATGAGAGCACATTTAATTCGATGGAGGGGACTTGCAATGTGTGTGTGTGTGTGTGCGCGCGCGCGCGCAAAAAGCAAAATGGCTCTATTAATTTGTGATTGTATTATTTCTAATTGGACCATCATGATGAGAGCACATTTAATTCGATGGAGGGGACTTGCAATGTGTGTGTGTGTGTGTGTGCGCGCGCGCGCAAAAAGCAAAATGGCTCTATTAATTTGTGATTGTATTATTTCTAATTTACGTAAAATATGATTGCACCAAACTTTGCTTTCTGAGAGGAATAAGGTAATTTCTAGAATCATTCTGAGCACAGGTAGTTTTCTATTTCATTGTTGACTTTGTAGCTGAGTCCTGACTTTATAGGCTATGTATGTATCAAATTGCTTTTCTGACACTTTCTCTCCCACATGATGCAGTATTTTTGGCTTTATCTCCAGTGGCTCTGATACAGTAGGTTGGGTGGGGAATAAAAATGTGCCTTTGTACCAGCCCCCATATGATTCAGTGCAGCTTTCCAACCGGAAAGAGAATTCTAGAAGCTGTCCAGAGAGCTCAGCTTTCTCCTTTTGCCTTGTCTTAGCAGCATGACACAGTGACACATGTAACACACCTGTAAAATGGGTGCATTTGGGTCACAGCAACAGATTTCCTCATTCATTCATCAGTCACTGTAGGACTTTGAACCCATACCTCTCCAGGTTCCCCTCCAGGCTCATGACCAGGCCAAAAGAATTGAAAGTCTCCGAACTGGCAGTAAAAGCATTTGTTCCCCATGCAGAACCAGTGGATGGTCTCCAACTGACTTTAAGCTCCCATAATTTACAGTCAATGCATAGGCTACTTCTTCGCACTTCCCCCACCTACCCTCCAAGCCATCAGGGACATTTAGCTTCCAAAAGTAATGGTATTGGGAGGTTGAGGTAGCAAATGCTAAGGATTAAATTCAAAAGTGTTCAAAGAAGCCTCAGAGTGCAAAGGAAAGAACAAAGAGATGGCACAACCAGAAAGGGGAACTAATAGCCCTCGGTGGACTCAAGTAACCTCCTTCCTCTGTGGCCTGGTAGCAGGCTCAATGTGGCCCCGCGGTGTGGTCAAAGAAATGGCCTAAAGATGGAAACAGTGCAATCACTTCTATGTCACTCTCCCTCCCCTGCCACTGGCACACAAACCAGCTCACCACTCTTCGAAGGAAGATAATCCCTCAGTTGGGCTTGTTCAAGGGAACACAGCATATTACGTACCTGCATGACTTTCCTCTGATCTCTGCCTAGGGTCCCTTCGGTGCTCCATCTATTTTTCTTTGCAACTACCATCTGCACTGAGCTTAGAGAGAGGCCTTCGCTATATTACACTTCACCTATGACCTGGTGTCTAGGCTAAGACAGATATTCCCATGAAATCTATGTGCTATCAGCTCTCCCTCTTACCAATCTGAACAGCCCTGCATGAGACCATCTTCTACAGCTACCCACAAACCATTATTTGCAAAATGGGATCACTAATTCCAACTCTATCTCCACAGGGGAGACACAAACAAGATAACACATGTGCAATCCCACCAAAACACATTAGCTTAATTATAATTAGTTTAAAAGTAGATGAGCTGATCACTTTGTCATTAGTCAGGTATCAAAGCTGACTGAAGAAAGACTGGGCCAGCAGTTCCCACCGAAGGGCCTGCCCTGCCTTCAGGAGCCAAAGCACCCAGGCAGTGCCCTCACCCAGCGTCAGGTTGAGTCCTTGTCACTCTGTGGTTAGAAATAACATAGAAAGTGGAAGTAAGAAGTTCACAGAAGAAAAATAACTAAGGAACATATGAATAACATTTTTGATTGAATAAATAAAGTAGTTGATTGCCTTGCCTTCTCTGGCTTTTGGCAGTCATTTTTTAACTCTCATGTTTAGATTTTACAAATCTTGATCTATAATTATTACTCTAGAAAGAGTATCCTTAGTGACTTTTGAAGTCTTAGATTACTTTGAATGAAATATTAAATATATGTTATATTATGACTTGGTGTACATGTAAACAAACAGAGCCAAGAACAAATGTTTCCAAAAAACAGTATTTATAAGGTAAAATGCCCTCGCTTTTCTTTTTATCATACTCTGTTCTATTTCATTTTTTAAAATGATCATGAAGG